TATATATATATATATATATATATACACACACACACACATACAATATCACTATAGTAAACAGGATCATCAAAACATGCAAATAGATCATGGAGATCATTTGATAAAAATGGCCGATTATGAATGCAAAGCCACATTCAAGGCGCAGCCCAGGATTTCATCCTAAAAGCGGCCCCTAGTGCCACACACCACTGAGGCTCAATCAGGTTTCCCTATTAGATATACTACTTTTACAGGGCCCTCTTCAAAGCTTCCACTCGATTCCAGCAATTATTTATGGGGAGAAGTGATGGAGCTTGCAATTAGCGAAATGAAAGACAAGTAAATAATTGCTTTTACTCACGGTTGATTGACACCACTATTTCTCACACCTGCCAGTGTGGCAGGCTGGTGACTTTGAAATATGTACCCCAAATATCGCCATTTTAGGGAATAGTTGTCTGCATGGGAGAACAAAGAATCAAATGCAGGGTTTTGCCAGTGGGTGCATAAAATGGGGTTGGACAGTGAGACAAATTTAGGGAAATAAGCTACTTTTTGAAATCTGTCCCTGGAAAATCCAGGGTGGGACCATACAGCATGCCAATATTTTAAGCTAATGCTTTTCTCTTGCAGTGTCGAGAAGGTTTTCCCAAATTCTGAGACGGCAGACATCACTGAATCATCTCTGCCAGGTATGTGTCCTGTGTCATGTGTTCTAATGACCACGAAGTCATTGCAAATGGGAGACAAATCATGAAAACAACTCCTGAGAGGATCTGTCAGGGTGTGGCTGTTTAATAGTTTAATACAGTACAGTAGGTGCTTGATACACTCCTACTGTTACCTTTAATTTCTACTGATAAAGAATAAAAACATTAGGCAATCACTAAATAGTTGAGACTAATACACAAAATAATTTCTGATGTCAGTTGCCCCTTAACCCTTCAGACATATTCTCTGGTGCCCAAGCTTGCGTTTCCCTTCAGTAAATCGGGATTTCTCAGCCACTGTTGACATCTGAGACTGGATAATTCTTTGCTGTGGGGAGTCGTTTTGTGCAATGGAGATAATTTAGTAGCATCCCTGGCCTCTACCCGCACGCGAGTGCCCAGATGCCAAAAGCACCACCCACCCCCAGGTACCACCCTGGTTGTGACAGTCAGGAATGTCTCCAGACACTGCATCCCCCCAGTTGTGAGCCACAGAGAGAAATGATGCAAACAGATAAAGAGCATGATTTGTTTGTTACGTATGTGTCATTCAGAAGAGTTCAAAGCCTGTACACAGTATGTTAAGTATTTGCCCACTTTTATTTATTTTTTCCAGATTTTTGTTCTTTTTAGCACAGAAGTGACATATGCTTACTATAAAAAATTCAAAAATAACAAAAATGTGTACAATGAAATGTGGAAGAGCCCACTCTTAACTCCTTAGTTGTAACTTGATGGTATAAAACCTTGCATTTGTACCTTAAATTTGTACCTTAAGGAAGGGAATCTTAGTCTATTAAGGCAGCCTGTAAACATTCATTAAAATATCAGTGATCTCAGGGGCACCTGGGTGGCTCAGCCAGTTAAGCTTCCGACTGGGTTCAGGTCATGATCTCACAATTCCATGGGTTCAAGCCCCGCATCCAGGCTCTCTGCTGTCAGCATGGAGCCTGCTTGGGATCCTCTGCCCGCCCCCATCCCCCGACCTCACTCTGCCCCTCCCCTGCTCATGCTCGCTCTCTCTCTCTCAAAAATAAACAAACATTAAATTTAAAAAGAAATATCAATGATCTTAAAGCAGAAGGGGCAAACTGGTGGCTGCAGATAGGCCCTCAGGTGGGTGGTTTACATGTGTTCCAAACTTGTTTTTACTTCCTTATTAAAAGTTGAAACTGGGAGATGATAGCAAAACAGCCCTAGCACCACATATCTGAGGTCAGGGATCAAGTGGATGGGCTGAGCTCCCCAGCAGGCACTGTGCTCCCTGTCAGCCCCACTTCCTCTCATACTTGGCTGGCCCACCTCACTCACATTGTCACTTGCCTGCCCTCTCTGTGTTGGGTTTGCCTCCTCTCCCTTATACTGCTTGTTCTGGTTGGTGCCAGTTATTCAAGGTCAAGGTTGAAGGAAGGGCTTTCTGCTTAGAGTGGCCTGAAGGAAGCCTCCGGGCCGGGACCTCGAAAATACAAAACTACACCCACAAGCACTCACTCTTCCTGCCCTGCCCCTGGTGTAAATGGCACAGTGGGTGGTTTGAAAACCAGAGGGAAACGCTTCTGTGTTTCTGCTGCCTGGGAGAGAGGCCATACCTGGGCACTGTTCAGGATGGGGCAGAGGCTGACAGATTAGTGGGATTTGGGAGAGAAAACAAATATTGGCAAAATAGAAAAACACTGCCATATGTCCAAGGGTGTATGCCTTCTGGTTCTTTCCCCAGCTCGGAAGAGCTGGGCTTGGGATGTATCAGAGAACTAGGCATGGCTTTGGTGCCTCCCTCCTCAGCTCAGACAGTTTAGGAAAGCCTTTGACCCTTTAATGCACGCATAGGTAAAAACATCCATATCTGTACCTACAGCCATCTGCACACACCTGTGCACTCTCTCCACTTCCCACACAGACAGTGCATATTTTAATTCGTATGAATGCTACCTTTCCATCTTCACAGGACAGCGCTCAGACACATTTCTGGATCGCCCAAAGGAACTGGGGCTGGTGATAGGAATGAAACACCATCGAACATCTTGACTAATATGCCAGCGAGCTTTCCTAAACACATACAAGTAACACTTAAACCCAGGCTCTAAATACCCAGGCCCTTTCAGATACACTAAGCAAGCAACTTGGCATTCCTAGCTCAACGGTTCATTCCACAAAGTCTTTTGAGTGCCTACTGTATGCCAGACACTGTGTTTAGTGATACTTGCCCTCAGCAGGAAAACAAAAACAAAAACATTTAAACAAAAACCAATTAAAAGTGATAAGTGTTATGAAGGAAACAAAGTGGAAATAGAGAGTAATGGAGCATGTAAGTCCAATTTAGATAGAGTGCTTAGAGAAGGTCTGTCCGTGGGTGTGACATTTCAGTTGTGACATGATGGCAGGGTGAGAGAAGAAACCTCTAGCTGGCAGGGATGCCATGTGCCACGGCCCTGATGTGTCCCTGCCTCACCACAAAGAGAACAGATCCAAATAACAGCAGCTCCTTTATTGAGTTCTTACCCCCTAAACTGTGCCCTTTGCAAACATTATCTCAGGGAAGGTTCCCTGGTGGTCTAGTGGTTAGGATTTGATGCTCTCTCAAACGTTATCTTAAGGAGTCCTCAAACGGCACCCCTCCTTAAGAGGCAGACACTAGGACATCTCCATTTTATAGATCAGGAAACGGAGATGAATCTGTTAGCCTGCCCCAAATCAGTCAGTTGGTTAGCAGCAAGGCCAGGATTTGAACTAAGTATATTTTAGTCCAGAATACCAGACCGTTACATTTAGTTGTTTTGATTATCATTAGAGACTAACCCAACTCCTATATTCATATAGTTTAGGCCTCTGACCTTCAAAGAGTTCTGCAGTGATTTAAGCGGAGTTTACTTGTCCTTGGACAGTTTGGGGGTAAAAGGGGTTGTCAGTATTTACCTTTGTCTGGAAATTCACAAGCATTAAGAGACTTTTAATGTCCATTGTGTATTGGAAATCTTTTGTTTTCCATTTTATAAAGACATTTTTTTAAAATATGCAGGTGAAGGAGATGATTCTGGAAATGTTTCTTTACTTTTATCAGTATTGTTCCAACTCGGTGGTTCCAAATATTGTTCCAACTTGCAAATTTAAGTTTTCCAGTCATGAGGGTTTGCTGAGGAAACCACAGGTTAAGCCTGTGCTGGAGCATGTGCGTGCATGCACATGCGCGTGCACATACACACACACACACCACATACATATTAATAAGCAACTGAGTCTTAAGGTGTTGTCTCCCTTTCCTTCCCTCTCAGTTATTCATACTTGTTTTCATCACTGTAGTTACCTAAAAACCAAAAAGCAAAAATAGAAAGCCAGACCATAAACTGCTTCAGAATGCATTCATATGAAAAACACACGTTGTAAAATTTGGGGGATTAAAGCTACCATGGGCCCACGGGTAGCAGGTCCATTCCCAGGTCTGAGCCCGTTGCTTCTCAGGCACTAGAGACACATCATTAAGCACAGAGCTCCCATCCCACAGGCTTACATCAGAAGGCTGACAGATCTCTGGGCTTCTTCCCATTGTTCCCCAGGGGTCAAGACCAAAGGGACTGGGAACAGCAGGGTTTGGTCTAGGCTAGGCCACCCTGGAGTAATGTTTTATAAAGATGAGAAAAGAGAGCCACAAGGGAAAAGAGTGTATGGGTCTTCTGAGTTATGGGCTTATCTGCTGATTTCCTGAAATTGAGTTTTCCTTAGTTAATTTCAAAGTAGTTTGCAAAATACCATACTCAGATTCATTAAAAAGGAAATAACATGCAGGGGTTTTAACCTAACAACCCATGAGCTAATGAGTTGATTGGATTGGATTATAGGCATCTCGGACAGTAATCCACAGTGCAGACATCACATTCCAAATGCTGGAAGACTGGAGGAACGTGGATCTCAACAGCATCACCAAGCAAACCCTCTACACCATGGAAGACTCCCGCGACGAGCACCGGAAACTCATCATCCAGTGTAAGATGTTCCACCAAGGATTGTGTCTTTTCTGGTTTTGTTTTTAAAAAAAATTTTTTTCAACGTTTATTTATTTTTGGGACAGAGAGAGACAGAGCATGAACAGGGGAGGGGCAGAGAAAGAGGAAGACACAGAATCGGAAACAGGCTCCAGGCTCTGAGCCATCAGCCCAGAGCCTGACGCGGGGCTCGAACTCACGGACCGCGAGATCGTGACCTGGCTGAAGTCGGACGCTTAACCGACTGTGCCAGCCAGGCGCCCCTCTGGTTTTGTTTTTAAAAGAAAGAAAGAAAGAAAATGTATCTTGGTAAATATTTAAGTGAGAGTCCCACCCTGTCCTTCCCCCTAGGATCCCTTCCCTCTTATTGTTCCTGTTAAATGGGTCAGCCCAGATGGGAGGGCTAATTGATTTATAAGGACGTGTGTCAACATTGCTGGGGAAAAGGGGGCCTGGTCCAGTTGGGCAGCACACAGTGTTATGCAAAAGGCTCCGGATGTGACCCTTCGGTGCCAGAAATAGTTCCATAGGTGGCATACAAAAATGAGAACAAAAGCTTGTTGTCTGTCTGAGTGTATGTCAGCCTGGAGGCAGACGGGCTGCCTGTTTTTCAGCAGAGGGTCAGTCAGCCCACCTATTGGCAGGTGAACCTTTCAATCACAGTAAATGTTGGAGAAGGAATGGATGGTGGTTTACCTCTGTGCATATATGTTCACGTCCCTGTGGACCAAGACTGGAGGATATTGCTCCTCGTGTTCTCTGGATAAGGTCAGGTTGGTTGTTCTTAGTAGTGGAGGACTTGAGGAGGCCAGAGACCATGACCGCTGTCAGCACATCTCTGCTGTTCCTCAAACGCCCCCACAGCCTGCTGCCCAGGGCATCCTGCACCCGGCCGCCCCAGATGGGGGCCTACTGGCAACTTCCTCAGTGCTCAGCCTTCCTTTCTCATGCCTCTGGAGGAGAGGAGTATGGAACGGTGAGTCCACACTCCTCCCACCAGCTCTCAGGAAGGTGGGTGCTGAGTATGGCTGGAGGTGGGGGGGATGTGACAGCTGGGGTGCTCTTACCTTCCGAGTGGGGTGAGGCCCCAGATCCTGACAGTACATTATTCAGGAAGCTGCACAGTGGCTGTGTCCCGAGAAGGGGGGTCTGTTCTCCCAAGAGCCCCAGGCCCCTCAGATTTCCAGTATATGCCTTCTGTATGTCCTCTTGAGGGAACCTTCTTCAGCCAGCCTAAGCATGTGGCGTTTATAAACAAGGAAGTTCCTCTTAGGGGCCTCTTTCCCACTGAGCCCTTTCCAAAAGCACCTGGAACAGCTGAAACCTGAACCCCTTGGACCTTCCCTAGGGCTTCTTCCCCAGAGCTCCATGGGCACTGTCCCATCTTCCACAGCAGCCCCCAGCCTGCTTTCCCCTGGTAAGAGCTTTAGAGATGCTCCCGAAAATAATGACTGAGCTCACGGACTGCCTAGTCTGTGTCAGACCTACCACACTCGGGATCTCATTAATTCTCTACATCAGCCCATGGGGAAGATACCCACCACCCCCATTTTACAGAGGACCAGACTCAGTCCCAGAGAGTGGTCAGCCTCACCCCAGGCGACAGGGCTGCGCTCAAACCTGCGTGTCACCACCACGTACTGGTGTTGCCCGCTGGGAAGAGCAGAGGAGACAAAATGATGAGATATGGGCAAGTCCCAGAAGCTGCAGGGTCTTTCCAAGTTCTTGCGATCATGCCTCCCGTCCTGTTTGTCCCTATTGCCCGCTACAAGGCCCATGGAAAGCACTGGTGTCTGCCCCCTAACAGCACTAGCCGTACCCCTGATCGTTGTGTCCCCAGGGTCTCGTCCCAGGCCAGCCATGGACAGGCGCCAGTAATGTCTATGCAGGACCAAACAGATGAGCAGAAACCCAGAATGATACGACTCCCAATAGCATGAGACCCCGCTGTCTTCCCCACTCAGCACCTTTTGTGGAGGAAAACAAAGGGGAAATGCACAGGGGAAAGTCACCATCACTTGCTTTGGGGACCAGGCTCTGAGCCTTTGCTGGAGCCCCTCGGATGTTACTGCAGCGTCTCCAAGAAGGAACTTTGGGGAGTTTTCTCTTCAAGTTCTCTTAGGCCCGGGATCGAACGGTACCTTTTAGACCCATGATCATACTCTTCTTCTAATGGAAGGGGGTGACGAGGTTCAGTCCACCTAGCTGGTTCTTGCTGAATGCCTGTCCTGGGCCAGGCACTTTGTTAGAAGCTGGACAAAAAGCAGTGAATAATATGGATACTGCCCTTCCCATGTAGAGCTTAGAGCTAATGGCCAATCAGAAATCAAACAAGTGATTTACGAATGGTTGAACGTTTCCAAAGAGGACATGCCATATGATGCAGTGCCTGGAACAGGGGGGATTGAGCAAGGGCATCAGCCCTCAAGGCAGGTAGCCTGGCACACAAGCGTCATCCTGCAGTGCCCACCAGACAGCTGAGAAGTAAGTTCCTGAACACAGCTGTGTGCTGCACCAATGGTGTGTGTGCATCGACCTTTCCTTACAGCTAGTTGTCAAACCTACACATCCCTGCTTTAGGGGGGTTTCCATCACCTCTGTGAATCGGGCCCTGCCTGGGAAGGCTCCCCTTAATTCACAAGTGCACATCAGGACTTGGGCAGACTGATGAGAATAACTGTGATAAGAGCAGACAGTCGGAGTGCCCAGCCGACCTTGATTTAAAGCCTGGCTCCAGTGTACTGTGACCCTGGCTTCCAAGTCTCTGACACGGGGACAATGTGGAGGGATTAAATGGGGCAGCATGCGCACCGTGTGGGTGCCTGGCACACAGTGTGGAGCCGGTACAGTGCCAGGGTTAGGAGACGAGCGTCGAGTCAGGCTGTGTTTGAAACCTGCCTCTCCTCTTCGCTAGCTGTGAGACCTTCAGAAAGTCACTCACCTCCGAGTGCCTCCACTTCCTCATCTGTAAAATGGGAAGTAGAAATCATACCTGCCTTCTCGGGTTGTTCATCCGTTCATTCAACAAACATTTGAGCAATTGCTGTATCACATTCTTGAGGTTGCTGTAGGTGGGGTGAGAGTGTCCGTGTCATTAGGGAAGTGCCTGGCACACAGCAAGAACCCCGTAAATGTCAGCCGCAAGCATTTGCCTCACCACCTGCGAGGTGACAGTGCTATCGGGAGAACGGGAACATCAGGGAAGTCAGAGGCATGGGCTCCAGTCCCTCTCTGGCCGCCCTCACTTACCCTTTGCCTTTGAGGGGTCACTTAATCTCATTGGGACATAGCTTCCTCGTCCGTAAGAGGACGCGGATACCAATTCAGCGGACTTCTCATTCAGCCCCTTCTCGTTCTAAACTGTCTGGATCTCCTGGCCCCGGCAGCTGACCTCCGTGGCAGTCCTCAGCTCGGGAAAACGGAATGCATTGGCCAGGCCCACAGAATGGGATGACAGAAACCTCCCAGGCAAATTTAAAACTCTAGAAACATGTGGGTCTGAATGCATGGTTTGGTTTACTGAGCTCCACATGTAAAAAAAAAAAAAAAAAAAAAAAAAAAAAAAAAAAAAAAAAAAAAACCAAACCACAGAAACGGCAATCAGAAGAGATGTTCCAAACCACAGCAGTGTTTCTGTTTTCTGCTGACTTCACCAATCACACAGTCCTTCCAGACTCAGTTACCTGACATGCAGCTGAAGACAGGCTATCAGTGGTACAATGGTCCTCCTGTTACTAGTGCAGAAACTAAGGGCGTGGAGATTGTCTCTTTTACGCTGTGAACAATGAGTAAGCATCTGCTACATGCCAAGCTCCGAGAGGCTGGTTAGAGCTATTTGCCCAACGTAGCTGTGGTTCAGAAGCCCTACCATGAGGCAGAGAGCAAGGGAGCTGCGATGTCTGTGCCCGTTCGTGCAAGGAAGCACGTCCTGGATAATGGCTGTGTGAGGCTAGGGACGGCCTCAGCTAAGAAAGAGGTCGGACAGAGAGCTGGCACGGGAGACACCCCTGCCCTCACAGCCGTAACACAGCATCAGTGATGCATTAAAGGTGGAATACGGATAATAAAATGCCGTGGAAGCACAGAGGATGAGCGATCAGTTCTGCTGGCGAGGAGCCCGGGGAGGGGAAAAAGGATGTCACAAGAAGGGCCATTTCGGCTGGGCTGGGCCCTGAGGAACCAGACGGTCCGAGCGAAGGGAACTGCCTGAGAAAAGCAGGGTTTGTTGGGGGGAACGCAAGCTATCCATGGTAGCCGGGCTTTCTGGTGTTCACAGGCTGCGAAGATGAGCCTGGAAAGGTAAGTCGGGGCGTGATTTCTGAAGTCTGAGTGCTCCGTTGAGGCTGGAGTTTTGTTTTTATGCAGTTTTATTCCTTTGATCTTTTAAGCTGTGGCTCTGTGTAGACACAGCTGCAGTGACGTGTGGGGGCTCTCCTTTGTTTGACAGTGTACCAGGAGTTTGACCACCTCCTGGAGGAGCAGTCTCCCATCGAGTCCTACATCGAGTGGCTAGACACCATGGTGGACCGTTGTGTTGTGAAGGTTGGTAAGCTGGAGCGGGAGGAGCAGCCCCGGCACTGCCCCCCAACACTCACCTTCGTGGCACTTGGGAGATGCAGAGCCCCGCACTGAGCTGTCTGAACGTTCCTCAGCAGCCACGGAGCCCTGGGGTTCTGAGCAGAGGCCTGGGCCCCCTCCGGAGGCGGGGGTTGCAGGAGGCAGGACCCTGAGTCTCCTTCCCCTGATTCAGCCAGGTCAGCGTCTCTCTTTCATCTGCGGTGTAAACTGGGTCCCGACATCAGCTTTCATTTTCTAAAGTGAATTTTTGCTGGTAGAAACAGAAAGTCAAAAAGCCATTGTTCCATAGCATTGAACTTGGAGATCCATAAGCCTTCCTATCATTTTTCAGACAGACAGTCATAAAGGAAAGGTTGAATTGACCCCTGTTTAAGCCGTTCACTTTCTTGTAGGTGGCTGCCAAGAGACAAGGGTCCCTGAAGAAAGTGGCCCAGCAGTTCCTCCTGATGTGGTCCTGTTTCGGCACCAGGGTGATCCGGGACATGACCTTGCATAGTGCCCCCAGCTTTGGTAAGGCCGCCCCAGCCCTCCTCATATCCAAACCCTGTTTCTCTGGGTTTCATGCGTGAAGTCCACCTCTCCAGAACCAGCCGTGATCTCACTTCCTGTCCCTGGGCCCACAAGGACATCACCCTGAAATGTGTGTGTTCTGGAAGGACACATCATCCTCAGGACTTCCGGGGAGAAAGATGGCATTGCGTGCTAAAAAGCTTGCAAATTGGAAAATGCAGTTTCTCACACAGAGAGTACTATCTGAGCTTAAAGAGGAGTAGATAGCACTGTTTGTGCACCCCCGTTGCCGGGTGTCCCCAGTGAATCCTGCTTCCGGGGACTATTTTGCAGAATTCCACTGTGTGCACTTCCCAAGACTGGGAAGCAGAAGAAGCCTCTGAGTTTGAACATTTGCACATGGCTCGATTGACGCTCCAGCAGTGGGGAGAGTGGCTAAAGCTTCTTTAACAGTGTGCGCCAGTTGGATCCCTAGAAGGGGACTTTTACGTTCTTTTTCCCTTGGGTCCTCCTCACCTCCCTACCCAAGTACACACCTGCTGCTTCCATTGTAAACGGGCCTGGAAATCTCTGCCCAGGGGCGCTTATCATGGTCTGCGGGCAGGAACCTAACACCAACTTGGGGTGATTGCTATGCTGCATTGTGGGACCTGGTTTTCTACTTGTCACTGGAAAGAATGGATGATGCATTGGGTCCAGGTCATCATTAGCAAAGTGAAGGGAAACTTTAAGGCATCGTCCAGACATTTGAAATCTCAAAGTGCTTTGGCCTCACATTTCTAGGCATTTCGGCAGAGGGCTGTTGGTACGTTTTCTGGGTAATTGCGTCTTGCTCACTATTTTACTTTGCAAGCAGAGATGTGGTTTCATTTTTCATTATCTCCAATTAAGCCAATCAGCTCTGGGTTTCACTCTGGGTTTAATTTGACACTTTTCCATCCAGCTTTTTATGGTCTTGTCACCATTTTCCAGTTGTGCTATACAACGGAGCGAGTATGTAGTGAAACAAAGGCGGCACTATTTTTTCTAAACAGCTCTGTCCATGAAAGACTGTGTTTCCCCAGTTGGAGAAGTGTTTTGTTGTAGATTTCTTTAATCTCCGCACTGGGAAGTTCTCTGCGCTGGCCTGCACCATGGCTACAGATGGGGGTCGTCCTCTCTGAGCCGCGGATGGAAGTGCTCTGGTGGCTGCTACCTGGGCAGTGCCCTCAAGCATGGCGTTTTGATGACTTCCAGCTCGGCCTACTTAGTGTTAGCACATGTTACCTCTGGTTCTGGGAAAATCACTTGTGCGTAACTGCTTTCAGTTAGGCGAATGTTTGAAAAATATTTGAGATTTTTTTCATTGCTTCAAAATCAAAGAATCAACAGGATCACACCTGTCGATATACATACATAACACACATCCACAAAGCCAGCATCCCTTTTCGCTTTGTCCCTTATTCTTCAGTTTGCTGGGTCTTAAACTGATTATGTATATTACTGAGTACCCTTCATTCAACAGGGAAAGTAATTCACTTGGCAGTATTCTTTGAAATTCATTGGTTCATATTAAGTTAATGTGACAAAGGAAGTTGGGGCAGTAGAACAGTTAGGGTTCTACGAAAGGGTTGCATTTATCACTAAGAAAAACTTGAAGTGTGTTTATTTCTCTTTGAACCACGCGCTATTTGGGGACACACCGGAAACTCAGACAAATGGCAGAAATGGTCACAAATCTCTTAGGAAAGAAAAGACGGAGATAGTAACCCAATTTCACTTTTACAGTATTTTCCAAGCCTAAGTGGGTTGAAATAATACCTGTTTCCAAGTCCATTTAGCAAACTGTCTGCAACGGTCCTGCTCATCCGACTCATTGTTGGGTTTTGCAGCTTGGGTGACGGACAAGTTGAAAGAATTTGCGGCAGACAAAAGCCCAGCTCCCCCTTTCTGCCTGTATATGTCAAAGACACAGTTGGTGGTTGTGTTTGGGTCATGTGTTCCCTGTATAAAAACAGCTAATTAGGAAAAAGAGCCCTCTGTTCACGGGCCCCCTCCCCCAACCACAGGGGCCAGCTCCATCTATCTTATAACTCCCACACGATCCTTGCCGCCGTGAATGGCGCGGGCTGACCACTACGTGACGGTGGGGATTGTCACCATGACCCCGGCGGGTCTCTACCACCTCTTCCCAGAACGGCCTCTTTCAAAGGTAGTTGACTCCTTTCTTCTCCTTAATTCCTTTTCACTCTTTTCTTCCTAATTCCTTCTCGCTGAAAGAGCCTATGCTGTGAACCAAAGTAGCCAGACGTTCTTTCTTTGCTGTAAGCAGCAGTTTCTAGCAAAATTAGACCGCAAAGGTAGACCGGCAGGCAATGAACTTTGAATCCTAATGGAGCTGAGGAAAATAGGGTTTCTACTTTTAAAACACACACATGCCCCGTGTTTTCCATTTGCTGCTGTGATTTCAGTTCATAGGACACCTGGACCCCAAGCCAGTGCAGGTGCCTTTACCGTCTCACTCTGGGTTTTCACCAAATGCCTCTGATTTCACTGTTAGGAACATCTGGAAGAACAGTAGTTCCTGGAAGGACTGGGGCATCAAACGGTTTGAAAAGCGGCCCTGTGTTTGCCAGCCAAGGGGGCAGGACTGCAGACTGCCCAAGTGTTCGTTCACCTGCTTGTGCACTTGTCTGCTGGCTTAGCGTCACAGCTCACCCGCTTGGGGAGGTCATACAGGAGCAGCCCTGTCAGAGATTGGCTCTCACGCCAGGTGGCCACGACCGAGCCTTCCAGGCTGCTTCTCCAGGCTTAGAGGGCCGGGCCCGGCTTTCTTACCCAGAACCTGCCAAATGTTGCACATGTCAGCCAGGCCCCCACCAAGCACTAGGAGGCAGGAATTACTTTTCCTGTATTCGGGGGAAGCAGACCAGAGAGGACACGGGACTTGCCCACGCACGCACCACAGACTCTGCTGGGCACCGCCCCTCCCCGAAGCTTTTCCATGCTAGAGCTCCTGTTCTTTCTGCTAAGCCACCACCTCATCTAACTTTCTTCTGTTGAATAGTACTCATAAAAACAAGGTAACATTTATCGAGGGCCTAGTATGCACCAGACATAATATTGGGCATGTTTTCATTTAATTCTTGCAACAACCTGTGAGGCCGGAGGTAGAGCGTAGAGCAAAGGCAGGATAATGACGCTCGTTGAAACAGACATCTAGGAGGCACATGCCGCTGTTGGCTTCTCCCATTAACTCTGCAAGGCAGATAATAAGAGGTGGAAAGGAAGCTTGGAGAATTTTCTCGCCCGAGATCAGTATGGCAAGGGAGCAAGGGGCCAGAGCTCTGCTTCAAAATCAGATCTGCCTGGCCACAAAACCCACGCTTCTTCAGTTACCACAACTCACACAAACGCCCTGGGCTCAGATGCATTGCACCAGAAGTCTGGACAAATTTGTTTAATCCTCCCTGGTGGACTTTTAAAAATCCATATTGATAGATGTAAAATATTTTTTGAAGCTATGAGAGAACAGAACAATAACTAGTCTATCATGAGTAAGAAGGGACTCCAGAAATAATATCTTTCAACTGTTGAGAATAAAGAACTGTCAACCATTATTCAAGAGTGAGGGCAAAGTAAAGACCTAGTCAGTTCTACAAAGACTAAGAAAATCTGGCCCCATAGAACATCACTTTAAAAAGCACTGAGGGGCGCCTGGGTGGCGCAGTCGGTTAAGCGTCCGACTTCAGCCAGGTCACGATCTCGCGGTCCGTGAGTTCAAGCCCCGCGTCGGGCTCTGGGCTGATGGCTCAGAGCCTGGAGCCTGTTTCCGATTCTGTGTCTCCCTCTCTCTCTGCCCCTCGCCCGTTCATGCTCTGTCTCTCTCTGTCCCAAAAATAAATAAACGTTGAAAAAAAAAAAATAAATAAATAAATAAAAAGCACTGAAAGGATGCATTTCAGCAAGAAGAAAAATAAAGCCATAGCTAAGGTCTGGGCAACAGAAACAACCATGTTTTAGTTATTGTTGTTGTGTGACAAATTACCCCGAAGCATAGTGGCTTAAAACAGTCCTTTTGTTATGCTTACGGATTCTGGTGGGTCAGGAATTTGGACACAGCACAGCAAGGATGGCTTGTCTCTGCTTTATGACCTCTGACCTCATCTCTACTCTGCACCTCACATGGGAACACTCAAAGACAGTAGGGCATCAACAGCTAGAGGCTAGAATCATCTGGAGGCTTCTTCCCTCACATACATGTCTGTGCTTGGGTTTGGATGACTTCAAGATAGGACTGCGATCAGGATGCCTTTGATGGCCACTTCATGTGGCTCAGTGTCCACACCACATGGTGGCCCCTGAACAGTTAAAACTTCTTACATCGCGGCTCACTGTTCCAGGGGGGGACCACATCGCCTTTTATGACCCAGTCCCCAAAGTTAAAGTGTCCCTTCCCCCCCACACAGTGTTGGTCAAAGGAGTCACAAACCTACCAAGATGGAAGCGGGTCACATAGACACCCCCCCCCTTCTCCAGGGAAGGAAGGTCAAACAATTTGGAGGCCTTATTTTAAGATGAGAGAAATTCTTAAATTTGTAAGCACATTTAATTACTGATTATAATTTAAAAAATAATTTTTGTGTGTTTAAAAATTGTCAAAGCAAGTTTTAGGCTACAATGTAACATGAGATGGTGAGAAGAGAATCTCCAAAGACCAGTTAAAGCATAAAGGTTTTTGTCTCGGAATATTAAATAACTTTAGACTTCGCTGAAAAAAAAGTAGTTTGGACTTTAAAAATGTATGGGATATATGTTAATAAATTAAGAATCATCACTAAGTAATTAAAATTTGCCAAGGAAAGTGGAAAATTATGAAAAGAGATGGCAAAATAAAAGAAGCATAGATAAAAGACGGTAAACAAAAACATAAAATTAGATTGCTAGAAATAAGATCAAATAATCATCACAGTAGATGAAAAAGCCTCTTCCTTCAAAAAAAACATCTGACGTAAGTGTTT